CCCCAGCAAGATCTAACCCTGGTGTTTCAATGGTTTTCATCCCAGAGCCAGACCCCACGTCCACACTTGGCCCAGAGTTTCTTAAACACTGGAACTTACCAAATCATTTTGTTCAACATGGAGATGTCTAGGTCTGCCCCCACCCTGATTTGCACATCTGGTCCTTACAGCATACATCAGGGGGAATCCTCACCAGGGTGCCAACTTCCTGCTGAGGGCAGTGCCCAGCTAGCCCTGGAAATGCCTGAGGAAGGAGGCAGCCTGACAAAGAGAAGCTGAGCTCAGGTGTGGGGCCCCAGGTGATGGGGAAGATGGTGAGTGGAGAGGTGAGGGAGGAAGCATCTGCTAACTGAAGGAGGGCAGAAAAGCCGGGCCGAGGAAGGAGCTGCACCTCAAAAGGGGCTGAACCTTCAAGAGGGCTGCACCAGGCAGGGCTACTCAGCCTTGGTCTGCTAGAAACGGAATTGGTGGGACTTGGGAAGTCGGGAGCTGGAAGGGTCAGCCCTCTTGACATTCAAAAACAGAAAAATCCTCTCAACAGAAAAATATAAAATTATTCATGTGCAGTAGCCAGCAAGTAACTATCACTTTCAAGAGGAACTCAACAAACAGAGCTTGCTAGAGCTTCCTCAGAGAATCCTGGTGGAGGTGGCAGGAAACCCAACCAGAGCACTGAAAACAAATACACAATGAAACTATCTAGAGGGCTAAGGTAGTCGGTCAGGGCAGGTTCTGGCACCAGACCTCCTGTGATCGAATTTCAGCTCTTACGGGGGTGACCTCCGGCAACTGAACCTCTTTAGGCCTCAGTTTTCTCCGGTATGTAAAGAAGTTAGAACATAGTAACACCACATAGTAACACCACATAAACGTGTTGCTGGCACATAGTAACACCACATAAACATGTGTTGCTGCTGTTACGATAATTATTTAGAATCTGGACATCTAGGACCCGGGACCCATGGCAGATCTATTTAGACTCAGAATCAGCAGTATCACCTGGGAGCCTGTTAGAAATGCAGCCTCGAACCCGTGCTGCATGCACAGAATCGAATTTGCATTTCACAGAAGCCCCGCTGCAGGAGGGACACTTTCACTTTTGTGAAGCGCTGCCTTAGAGCAGAGGGGAGGCCACACCCAGAAACTTGGCCAGAGATGGGGCTATTTTGGAGAAGGGGGCCAGCGAGGGTTAGGCTGCCCTGCCTTGGGGTTCCCGCAGCCTGGAAAGCCCCGGCCCTGCTCAGCACCCACACTTCACGCGGGGACGCCGCGCGGGGGCGCCGGCAGCTACACGTCGGTGTGCTGGGACAGCCTGGTCCCCGGGGCCGCGGGGGCGCGGTGACTGAGGCCA